AAACAGTTGACCTGACCTAGTGAGAGCACAGGGACCCCAGTCGTAAAGATGGGGAAGCAGCATTGGACTAAACCAAGCCCTCTGAATGTGGGTGCCAGCTAGGGGCCTGGACAGTTTATGGGACTTCTAACAGTGGAGCCAGTGTTTATCCCTAGTGCACAAATGGACTTTGGGAGCCCATTCCCTATGGTGGGATACTATTGCAGCCCAGATATGGGAAGGAGGGCCTGGGCCCTCCCCCAAATGATGTGAAAGACTTTGATGATCCCCTGTGGAAGGCCTCACTATCCTTGGGGAGTAGGTGGGGGGTGGGTTGGGAGAGTTGGTGGGGGGTATGGGTGGATGAGAGGGAGAGGGAATGTGGGGATTGATATGTAAATAAGAGTGTTTCTAAAATAAAAGTAAAAAGAAGGGAAAGTCCTTGGACACTAACCCAGAAACATCAGAAACTATGAGGAGGCTGACCACTGATGTAGGCTCTAACAAACCCACTGAATTAGTCTGTTGCTCATCAAAGACTGGGGCCCACACTTTCAACAAACAGAGGTAATGAGTCCGTGGCTTCAACAGGCAGTCTTAAAAGAAAGTCAGAGATACCCATAGCTAAACACCAAACTGAACTCCTGAAACCCAGTGACAGAGATGGAGGAGTGATGAGCAAAGGGGTCAAGACGGTGCTGGTGATACCCACAAGACAGCTGACCAGACAAGGGGGAGCTCTTGAATCCCAGACTGATGACTGAGAGGCCAACAGGGGACTGATCCAGACCCCCTGAATGTAGTGTCAGTGAGGAGGCCTCAGAAATCTCTGAGCCTTGGGTAGTAGATCCATGTTTTCCATGGCGTAAAAATGAACTTTGGGAGCCCATTCCACATGGAGGGATGCTCTCTCAGCCTGGACACATGGGGAAGGGCCTAGGTCCAGCCCTGGATGAAATGACAGATTCTGGAGATCCCCCCAAGGAGGGCCTCACCCTCCCTGGGGAATCATATGGGGATTGGGTGGAGGGCTGGGGGAGGGACAAAGGAGGAGGGGTGAGTGGAAGAGCTGGGATTGACATGTGAAGCATGCATGTTTCTACTTTAAATAAAAATATATATTGAGCGGGGAGAAAAAAAAGAAAGTCAGCCTTCTTAGTTAACTTTGGATTCTCAAGATCATCAATAATTGCTACAGGAACCATCCTTCCTCGGACACTATTGCAGTCAGTCCTGTCAATTACCATGTTGAAGAGCCATGCACATTTTAGTTTTGCTTTTGCCTCAATACTAAAAAGTGAATAGCATGAAGATGGAGTGCTCAAAGACCAGATCAAGAAGACTAGGGGGAGAGTTGATGAAAACACAAGAACTGTAACTTTGATGACTGATGGTGAGGTAGAGTTAATAGGAACAGAAATGCCTTGTTCACTATTTGGTCCCTTTCATCTCCTTCTGTTTTCCTTTACAATCTCTCTTCCACGACCCCACCCAGCTACTGCCCTCACGCTGTATACATATCTCTGAGTTAATTCTGGATGAGAGAAGGTATTTTTTTAATGAATACTCAGAGCAACTGAACACAATTTACAACCTAGAGTCTTTAGCCTCCTTCCTGGAGGCAGACTTGGTTCTACAACTAGGCTAAGTGATCTTTAAGCTCCCCCTATCTAGCCTGAAACACCAAATCTCATTCATGCAAGGCAGTGCATGTGGGAAGGTCCAGACGATGGCCTGCAGCAAGACAGCACAACAGCCAATGCCTGCTCCAACACCCAATAGCTGAAAACTGGACATGATATTTTACCTCTCCAAGCTTGAGTCACTCTGGTTTTTAAATGAGGGCAATAGAAGTCTCTCGCTCTCTCTCCTAGGATTCTTAATGAAGATTAAATGCAACCATCCACATAAAGCATTTAGAACTGTGCCTGGCACATATCAAGAGCTGGGTTAATGTGAGTTATTAAGGCTATAATGCCTCAGAAATGCTCCTCAGCCTTCAGCACATCTTGACTTCTTGCGGGTAGAGAAGGAAGACAGTGAAAATCCAGAAGGAATAAAGTGCATGAGGCTAGCAGACCTGAGACAGGGTGGGAAGGCAGTTAGCAACATAACAAGTGTTCTGTTGTAAAGTGTTGCCGGATAAGGCTACAAGGCTTGCGTATGAATTGCAGTGTGATTCTCAACTAGAGAATGGGAAGACTTTGCCCTCCATTAGCAATTAGTAAAGCTTAGGTTTGTTTTTGGTTGTTGTAACCTTGGGGTGCTATTAATGGACACTGAGGATGTTGTTGAATATCCTATAATGCGTAGGACAAGAATCATCTATCCCAAATGCCAATGCTGTTGAGGCCTGAGAAGACATGAATTATAGTGTAGCATGACATTATCTTAATAAGGTAGATTCTGGCACTTCACGAGGATGGAAACTGAGTGACGTTTACAACTCCTGTGATTCTAATGGTGTTTGCAGTTAGTCCTAACCACAAACTTTATCAACAGTACATCTCACTTTCCTCCTTACCCCCCCGCCTGCCTTCCCCCCAAAATCAACAATATTGTTTCAAACAAAGCTTACAACTTTTATAGGTTCACAGGAGACATTAGGTAAACTTACTCCTGCTAAATCAGGGACAAGCAGAGTGTTTCGGTGCTGAGAGAATCCTTTGAAATGATCTAGTGACAAGACTCTAGTTGAAACCTTTTGTTTCTACTTTTACAAGCAAAGAAACGAAGACAGGGAGAAGTAGAAACCTGAGCTAAATGACACAGTGTGACACTCATCAGGAACTGACAGAATGTTTTAGTTGGACACACATTATCACAAGGATCTCATCTTCCCAGCATTCGTTCTTTTTGCCTTGCATTTTCTCCACAATCAATCTGTACCTCTTCCCATCTTTGGAAACTCCCTAAATATTGGTTTCACCTGATAAAGGTGGCAGTGGTGAGAATAAAAGGGGGGAAACTGGGTTCGAGGAAACAGACCAGCTGCCAATGGATTAAACTGTGGCAGCTCCTGATGAAGGGAGAGGAGAAATGACAGGCGACATCAGTACCCTGTTTACACAACTTGGGGCATGATGCATCAACAACCTGGGAAATCGAGACTGCATGCTGTGATGGTATGTTGCTTATGACAACGCCAGGTGCTGCCGTCAATCTGTGACAACGGAGAAGGAAGTGAGGATGAGCAGAATTAGGTTGATGGTGGTGAATTGGTTCGCCCAAGGAATCACATTAGAAGTAAAACCTGGAAAACTTGGGGGAAAACAGGTGTGTTGTTCTGGGGTTCTGGGACCCCTACCTGTTCAGGACAGAGGGACTAAAGCCTCTCCCACATTCTGGACAGCTTCTCTGTGCTCTAGTTCTCCTAGAGTTTAAATACCAACTGTTACTCTACCACATAAAAATAATTATAATGAAGATATTCCCCAGAAGAAGAAAAAATGCAAACGCGACGAAGAGATTAGAGTAGGGATGCATGAGGAAAATAAGTAAAACATTTAAAAACTCTTTGGGAATGTTGGAATATCTGGTTATTTTCTCTCATTTTTTTTCTATACAAAGGTATTTCCTGGGTGGGAACTGCTTCTCCGAACTCTGTGGGTCTCGTCCTTTCTCTGACTTTTTCCTGATTTCTCAGACACCAAACACATCTATCACCAATGTTGTTTTCCTTCCCTAGCTGTATTTATCAGGAACAGTGAGCAACCTCTCCTCCACTGGTCATCAATGCTGAAATCTCTGAGGACCAGACTATATCTATTAACAACTACAAGCCAGGGTCATCTACAGCTTTATTACCCCAAAAACCCACCCCATCAATATGAAGACCAAGAGGACAAAGGTGCACGTGACCCCCTCATTGGAACGCACTTTCAATTTGTGTTGAATCTGTTTCTTGAGAAGCATTTTGTGTTGTTTTCATGGGTCAGATGGGAAGTTGCCAGGATTTTTCTCTTAATACTGAACTCTAAGCAGCCAAGCACTTGCCATGACTTCTTCACCTTTGCCAATTAGCATTCCCTTGAATCAACAACCCCTTCTTCCCAAAGCAGCCAGCAGTGTGCCAGGGGCAAGTGCCAGCCTGGACATTCATGTCCAATTGAGACTGGATTCTACGAAAGGCAATGGCAGGATGGCCCCTAGTACTGCCAGTGACGGAGAGAGACATCACCATGCAGCGCAGAATAGCCACACACTCATGCCACTACACACACTTGCTGCTTACAGACCCAAGAGGCAGGTATCCCATTACACATAGAGGGCATACTTAGTCACACATTCACAATCACCTACACGCTACTGAGACATCATACAACAAATTACACACCTATAAAGATAGACAGATACACAACATAATCTCTCTCTCTCTCTCTCTCTCTCTCTCTCTCTCTCTCTCTCTCCTCTCTTCCTCCTTCCCTCCCTCCCTCCGTCTGTCCCTCCCTCTCTCTTCCTCCCTCTCCTACCCCCTCTCCTTCTCTTCACATACAACCTCACATAGTGAATACACATGCAGTTTCACAAGTACTTACCTATACAAGCACAGGCACAGGAGGGCAGCTTTCAACCTTCAGTGGTCCCAAGCTGCAGACAGGTCCTACCCAGACAGACAGTCCACCCACCCACACTAATACACAGCCCATCCCTGCGACAAAGGCTGGTGGGTGTCGGAAGTACAGAACCCTGAAGCCCCCCCAACCCCCGCATCCCGCCCCGCCCCCTCTCGGCATCCCCACCTGCACACGTGGGCTCCTGGGGTTCTGATCTCTTGGCGCACTCCCAGAACCACACAACTGCGGAGGGCTAGCGAGAGTGGCGCCCCTGGCAGATCCAGATCGTTGCGGCTACCTTTAGCGCAGAGCCCAGCTTCTGCCGCTACTGAGCTGCGCTGCGCTCCCCGCCACTGCCTGCGCCCTCTCGCCGCCGCCCCCTGGATGCGGGCTTCAGCCCCCGCGCTGGGGAGCGGGCGGGAGCCTGGCACTAGATACAGGCTGGAGACCCCAGCCTGGGCTCACCTGGGCATGTAGAGCATCCTCTTCCTCGTAGCTGAGCCGGCCTCTGTGGGCTCCACAGCCCCCAGCCTGGGCTTCCCTGCGGTCCTGCTCGCTGCCGCCCCCACAGGGCACACGGGGCGCCACCTGTGCAGAGGGGCGCACAGGGGAGTGGACGCAGAGGCTGCACAGATCTCACACCTCTGGGCTGGCAAGCATGTGCTTCCCTGACCAGAACAGTACCCATTCGCTGGGGACACGGAGTGAGCCCCGGCCTCAATGCAGACTCCTGGGTGACCTTGGGCAAATCCGTTCACGTTTTTGAGTGTCCACTTCCTCTATTCAGAGACAATAAACTCGAGAATGCCTCTGAGGTGCCTGTGCCAGGGGCAATCCTCCCTTGCTGCAGCCTACTTCCTTCTTCTCAAGCCTGACTCAGCCTGGCCCAGAGCAAGGTTTGTCTTGGGAGCGGCATTCAAGAGAATTCTGGGCACTTTGGAAACAGGATGGCAAGTTCTCCAGAGCTAATGCGTTCATTTGCCTGAGGGCTCCCTAAGGGACTATCCTTGCCTTGGAGTCCACTCTTTGCCTCCCTGTCTGAAGTTAGCCGGTTCTCACAGCTCTGACCACCTGTCAACCTTGACCATGTGACAAGACTGAAAAGCAGGGCACAAACTGACAGTAGTGTTAAGGCTCTCCAAGAGTCCAGGCCTGGGTACCGCTCAGGGATGTGAAGTACTACTAATGACAGCACAATCCATCTTCCCTCGGCACCTCTGATCAAAGCCCCCATGGCAAGGATAAAACGATGCAATTAAGAGACTTAGGAGAAGGCAGCCCTTTGCCACCTGGATGAGGGAAAGACCACAAGACCTTGGGGTGAAGAATTCGCCCTCAAGTACCACTGAGGCTGCCTGGAAGCCAGCCAAACAGAGAAGCTGTGGGCAGTGATTAACTTATGTGAACAAAGAAATCTTCCAAGACAAAAAATCATTGACCCACAATTGTACCAGAACCAACTTGAGTGAACCAGGAGTTTGCACTGGATGGTTTATATTCAATGCTGAGGATTGAACCCAAAGCCTCACACATCCTAGGCTAGTTCCCCAGCTGTTTTGTCCTGTTATTTGATTGTCTACTTAGTGTTGGGACAGGACACAGGCTGGAACTAGAGGTCCTCCTGCTTCAGCCTCCTCAGTGCTGGAATTACAGGCTCCACCACCATGCTTGGCTGAAAGCTTTAAATTGATCAACCCTTTTCACCAAAATCCCCTGAGTTCTGTTGCTCATCCTCCTGGCCTATATCCCCTCCGCTCATTACAGTAAGACCACATATAACTGGCTTTGAAGATGCAATCATTCAAAAAAGACAGATTCTGCAAGTTGAAGACAGGCCTGATTCTTGCTGCAAATCTAGGAAAGGATTGCACCCATGCAGAAACGTCAATATTAACACAGTAAGAGCTGTGTCGTACTATGATCCAAAGAATTGTGAGGTGACACATGTCCTGAGACATCAAGTAATTCATTGCTGTAACGGATGATTTATGCAATATTTGCAGAATCACACCAGTGTCTTACCTTGTGATTAACAGGGACCCAGGGATCCCAGATACCCAGCTGCTTTGCTACACCCCAACCCTGCTGTGTTCCAAGCAATATTTTCCATGCCAATGTCACGTGCCCTTTCCCTTTTTCCACTAGGAAGCGTGTGGAAGGATGAGGCTCGGGAAGAAACAGACTCGGGTACAGAGGGGTTGCAAGTGTGACAAGTGGTTCCCATGCCACGGTGTAGGGGGTCTGCAAGGGGGGGTAGATGAGAAGACAGAGACAGACAATGGGCTGTCTCCAGCCAGGAAACTACTTCCCAGGACCTGGGAAAAAGAAAAGAAATGAGCAGAATTGAGACAGAAAGCACGAGACCTCAGCAAGCCAAGACAACGTGTTTATGATAACTACTACTGCCAACACTTGTGTTAATACAGCAGCGTTGGAGTACTGAGAAGTCAGCTGCCCAAAATAGAGAGAACTAAAGCAATAAAGGGTAGCTGAGCAGTTACTACAGACAAGATAAGAATGCCCTGGCCCCTTCTATTGTGTTCTTTGTCCTCTAGTCATCCTGATATTGCTTGGATTAAATATTTATGTTTGAGGGGGGAGTTAACTGATTCCTGTTTTATTACCAATAAAAATCAAATAAATGACTATTTAGTCTTGGGTTAACAGTCAAAGCATGGAGACACGCATCAAGACTATGACCCAGTGAACAAAATCCTAACCTAACTGAAGGTTAATTTTTTTAATGTATGTGTAATAAACTTTCTGTTTTTGATATGTAATTCTACTAGCTTCTACAAATCCAAAATCAAAATAGTGTAAATAATAATGGTACATTCAGTGTACAGCAAACTGAACTGTAACCTGAATAAGTATATTTAGGGAAGCCTTAGGTAATATATTTAATGGGACAAGTGCAGGTTTGGATGATAAGCATAGCCCCCCCACCCGCCCCCACACACATAGAGAACAGTTAGTCCCATTGAAAGTCATGCAGGGATTTTGTCCTACAAAAAGGAAATGAGGCCCTGAGATGGGAAGAAAAGAAAAATGGGCAAGCAGGAAATGACTTTTGACCCCAGAGGGTCTCTGGGGGGAGTGTAAGATGTATAATGAAAGGAAGTTAGTTCATTCAAACCAGTGTTCAAACAGGGTTTTAGGCAGTGCCAGGACTGTCCAAGGCCAGGTAATGAATCAAGAGTCAGCCTTGGCTATAGCACTGTCTTTGCCATGCCGGGATGGATCATGCTTTTCAAATCCTTGGCCGGACACCAGCAACCTCATCAGTAGGGAGTGGCAGGAGATATTTGTTTTCAAGCAGTGTTGCTGGCAGTGGAGATGGTCAGAGCAGAGATGTACACATGCGTGTAACAGTCATATTTAAGTTGTTCATAATGTGGATGCTTTGAGATGTCATACTGGTACTAATTAAGCATTATAATAGGAGAGTTTAATTTTTAAAGTAAGGAAACCTTGTAAGCCAGAGATTGGTAAATATCCACTTTCTACAATATCCTCGGGGTGTGTGTGTGTGTGTGTGTGTGTGTGTGTGTGTGTGTGTGTGTGTGTGTGCGCGCGCGCGTGCGTACATGCATACATAGACATAGAAGAATGTAGTATGTCCTACTCAACATTCTTCACCCTATTCCACTGAGACAGGATCTCTCACTGAACCTGAACTTCAGCTGGTGGCCAGGAAGCCCCAGAAAACCTATCTCTACCCCTCAATGGCACTGGGGTTGCAAGCCTATAAATAGCCATGCTCTGCTGTTTACATCAATGTTAGGTTCTGAACTCAAGCCTTTACACTAGTGCGACTAGCACTCTTACTTCATGAGCAATCTCCCAGACCCAACATTTTCTTAAACATGTGTTCAGCCTTAGGTGATAAGACTCTAAGAAGGTAGGGACCCTCTTCTCAAATTACTCTTAGCCAACTAGAAGAGACAGAATTGGGCAGAGACTCTCATCCCACAGTGTGAAGACTCATAACAGAAACATGGATAGCAAGTGAAACCCATTGTTAGTATTACCCTCATTTTATTACCACTTAGAAAACATTTGCTGAGCATCTACTTGCTGGTCACTACACCAACTATGTCATATACCTTCTTAAGTGTCTCCTGACAGCTCTGAGAGATATTATTAGAGAGTTTTACGGAGCTAAAAGAGCATCACACAAAGATGAAGGAACCCGACTTTGAGATGATGTGGGTAGAAAGCAGAGTATAGATTACACCCAAGATTAGAATTCAGGTTGTCGTTTTGCAGGCAAGCATGGAATAAAAAGTCTTTACAATAGCGGCTGTGCCAAACAGTATTCATAATTTACTGCATTCAGGGCACAGTTTGAGACTCTTAGGACAACATGTGTACAGTTGGAAACAAGAATCAAGCTAAATTTTTACTATTTGAGAACCAGGACAATTGGCTGGGACATCACAAAGAAAGAGAATCACATCCAAATGGGAGCTCAGCATTTGAAACCATCAAACACTGTAGGTACTAAAGTACAACCTGGGTACCAACTGCCAGGAAGGCTGAAGGAAGAAACCCTGTTCTCGGGGCAAGGCTAAGCATCGTCTCTTGTTGTCCTCAGACTTGTATGATGTAGAAATCTGAAAAACTGAGTGTCACCTAACTCTTCAGGTAGCACTTGAATATCAAAGCTGTCCTTCTCTGTCGCTCACTCCTGGTCCTCTCTGTTTCACTGGAAGCTAGTAGTTGATTTTTTAACTCTTTGGGGGGTCGACTACCCAGTTCCCAAATAAACACATTGAATCCTACTCTTGCTTATGAATGCCTGGCCTTTGCTTGGTTTGTTTCTAGCTAGCTTTTCTTAAATTATCTCTTACTTTTTGCCTCTGGGCTTTTATCTTTCTCTATTCTACATTCCTTTCTCTCCTTCTTACTCAGGGGCTGCTTTTGTGTCTGGGTGACTGGCCCATAGAGTCCTTCTCTTCCTTTTCTCTCTCCTCCCTTTTCTATCTTCTTTTATTTATTCCCTCTGAATGTCAGCCCCTATTTCTCTCTCCTCTCTAGCTATTGGCAATTCAGCTCTTTATTAAATCAATCAGTTGTTGTAGACACACAAAGTAACATGGCTTTACAGAGTTTAAAAAATGCAACATAAAAGGCTGCAATACATCTTTGCATCATTAAACAAATATTTCACAGTATAAATGAATGTAACACATTTTAAATTAATATTCCACAACAGATGCTTGCTTCCATTATCATTTGTATGCTGACAAGCTTTACATTTGTACTGTAGCCCAAGTTCATTGCTGAGCCATGGATCTATCTCTAGATGTCAGATATCTAGGGTTGTTGCTGATCTCAGGAGTACCTAGTCCCATTCAGCCTAGATGACTGGAAATAAAATCTCTAGGGGAAAGAAAATATAGAGTTGTGCCAGATTTGGACCTTGGAAAATTTCAAGAACACTATGATCATGTAGTATAGATTTAAAAAGTGTAGTGTTTGAATTTTAGAGACTCAAACAGGCTAGCATTTGATTATCTGCAAGGGAAATGTAAATGTCTGGGTTTTCCAGGAACAATAGCCATCCAAAAGTCGTTTTTCAAGTTTAAACTCTTCCATCTAACTTACAGACATTTAAAAAAACTTACCTGGAATGACAGAACAGAATGCATAATTTCTAATGTTTTATAAAACACAATAGGGCAACCAGTAAACTAAATGGAGAATGGAGGCAAGAAGATGTACAAATGGAAGAAGTAACTTCAATGTGCCCATCACACAGAAGAAAAGTCAAGCGATGTTGAGCCCTTTTTTAATGGAAGAGCAAATACCAGAAGATCTGTGCTGCTTAGGGTTGCCAAGGTGACTGGAAAGAGGAA